GCTTCTTGTTGTTGATGGGATTAATTTAGGGGTTAGACTGTCACTTAAAAACATAAATTTTGTGGCCTGCATTATTTATTTTCCAACTCTTTGCATGCTTTATCTAAAACTATCCATGTCCCTCTTGATCTGAGAGCTCTGACACTGCAGACAGGATGCTCCGAGTTACCAATAACCATAACAAAATATACCAAGTAGTTTAATAACTCAGCACCCAAATTAGCAAGATGTGTGCCCGGGCTGAAAAAGGTGTTATATGTTAAAAATATAGACCAGCAACCATTAAAAACAAACAAACCAAATTAATCAAACAAAAAAAACACCGCTACTTCTTTACTTACTTGAGTAGAGCCGAGTTTATAGTTCTGGATTTGTACTGCAATAGAGGATCGAATTAATACCTAGGGAAGTGGGAAATCCCAGGAAGAGGCAGTTTGTTCTGGGCACTCAACCAGCGCCTCCTCTGCTGCCACTGGAGCTGCTGGAATCGGGTCAGGAGGGGGATCCGAGAGGAGCCCGGGGGAACTCGGTGTTAGGATGTCCCCAGCGCGAGCAGAAACGATCCCGGGGGTCCTGGAGCGCCGATCCCGGGGTCCTGGAGACTTTCCCGCAGGAAGGATCCCCACCGGCTCCGGGAGCTGCCGTGCGGAGCCAGGGCGAGCGCTTCCCATGCGAATCCGAATTGGCACCTGCCAAATCCTGCTGCAACGGGGGGAAACCCCAGGCCCGGGGAAGGGCCCCTCTGCTGCTGCTACAGGAGAGGGCCGAGCACAAGGAGAGACCCCATTTCTTGCCCACAAACTCAGGGAAAATTCCTTATGGTTTTGCTGCAGGTGCAAACGCCATTCTCACCTCTCCAAACACCCTCCTTGCATTCACTTATGGGCTTTGCAGATTCTCCTCCTCCACTTCTGGTTATTACGAACATTTGTCTAAAGAGGGATCTTTTAAGATGTGGATTTTCTTTATCCCCTGAAGTCAGGTTCTATGGTCAAACAATGAAGTTTTGGGACTTTGAGTGACATCCTTCACTCACAGCAGTACTGGCACAAGCTAAGCACATCTTTGGACTCATCTATGAAGGAAAAAAAATCAGGTAACGAAAGGACTGTGCACTAAAGGTGATGACACAAACCATAGGAGCACTCTCTGGTTTCACAGTTCATAGTCAGAACCCAATTTATTAAACATTATAAACTTATCAATGTACACCATTTCCTATATACAAATCAAGTTTATCAATTAAAAAAAGTGCTGCTTGAAGTTAGATTTTATTTAAAGCACAAGGGAATGAGAATTGCATCTTAACTGAATCAGTTCAAGAGTAGCACTGAGGACACAGACACATTGACAGGGCACAAAACATCTTGTAACTCTTAATGTTGGTTTACTGAAAATTTGGAGGATAAAACATTCAGCAAAACATTCAGCTTATTTTATACAAACAGTACATACTGCTTCCGCCATCTCTATTAAAATCAATATAGTTTAATCCTTTTAAAGCAAGGTACTCTGAAAACTTCTATTTTAAAATACCAGTCTATTTACCAATGCCAAAAAGGCCCGAATCCTGCAACTGAATCAGGGCAGACAAAAATATATGCCCACATAGACTGAGTGCAGGCTGCGGGCTAAGTGAAAAACCACTTTTTGCAGGTATTCTATCACTAAAACGAGGGGATCTAACATACTGATCTCTCCAACCAACCCAAGGACTACAAAAACGTGGCCAGAACAGCCAGATATACCAAGTGACCACTACTAAAATGTTTCAAACGGAACTGCACAACAGTCTAAACACACAAAGGCTGTTACTGATTTCTCCACATGCCACAGTTACTTGCTCTGCTCTACGCTGCAGTTTGCCAGTGTTCTGCAAATGCACCATACCGGGGGGTACGAGGCGCTACCGGCTCCAATTTTGCCTCCTTTTGCTCTGTTTTGCAAAATTAAGGCTTTTAAGAAAACAGCTGAAAGTTCAGAAACCAAGTGACACGAAATGGTAGTTTGGGTGAGATAAGTGGCGTAAAAAAGGAGCAGATACAGCGAATCCTAAATCAATCCACAGGGACAAGAGGTAAGAACCAACTAATCCAAGGACTTCACGACACACAAATGAAGATGAAATAACTAGTCAACACCATAAATTCATACCTCTTAGATTTTTTTAAATGAAATCTGTGTGGAGACACTTACTCTGATATGAATGCATACTTCAGTGTCATTTAAAATTAACACAGATTAGAAAGTAGTAGTGAAAAAATGTTTTTTTTCTAGCTACTAGAAACAGAGGCAGAGAAAGCTCCATCAGTAAAAAAGGAGAGAGCTGAGAATATCCTTGGCATTTACTTTAGGGACCTCCTATAGCAAACCTAGCTTTGCTCTATTGCACCAAAGTAGTAAATGAAGGTAAAAGTTCACAGAAATGTAAAATTTTAGAAACTGCTTTTGAAAAAGGAAGGGGAGGGCACTCCATGCAAGGAAGTTCATTCAGAAAAACAAAAGTCACTGTCGGACAGCTGCAGGGCATAGATATTAGATTGGAGAATAAGAAATTGCTTCCGCCTTGCAGGCCCCAAAAACACGTAAATCCGGTGAAATCCACAGAAATATGGGTGTTTGGATGGACACACTCCTGCTGCGTGCTTGTTCTCTTGACTTGGGCTGCCGTTGCGCTTGGGATCAGCTGCAAACAGGATTTTGGTGCTCAGAGGGTGTTTGAGATCCCTTTACACGGGGACGTCGTGTCTGTGACGGGGTGACCCATTTTACTAACCTGTCTTTGCATGTGGCTCCACAGGGATGGATCCCTGCACCTTCCCAGTGGTTTTGCTTGGTGAACTCGCTCAGCACCTCTCAGCCTCGCAGAACGGAGACCCAAGAATAAATCCACCACCTAGAATTGTCCTAAGGCAGCTCCAGTGCCAACAACTGTCAGATCCTTTGCCTCAAAAGCACAGCGTTGCTACCAAATGCTGCGTTTTTCTGGGTTCTCTCAGCAGATTGCCACCTCCAATAGGCACAAAACCAGCTTTCCTTCTAGTATACGAAGAGAGGCCTCGTAATTTAAAGCACAATTAGCCGTGGTAGCTTTTTATCTACATAGCTACAGCCTTCTGTAGTAATGCAAGACCTAAAAATCATTATAAAAAATATTTCCTTAGAGAGCACTTTAAATAATTTACAAAATTCTACAAAAAAAGCCCTAAGTATGCTGTTAAATAGAAGCATTTTTCACATTAGTGTGTATATATTTATCAGTATCTCCCCCTTTCTTTCTCCTTTTGTCTTATGTTTGTCAGGATAATTACAGTGATGGTTATTTTCTAAAAAAGGCTGTTACTGTAAAAAAAGGTGTGTACTTCAGGTGTGTACTTACATATTTGATACCTTTCTTTTCAAGAGGGAATCTGCAGGGATGTCAGTAACTTTTGCACAATTTTTGCCTAAAACTTCCTGCCCTTGGTCCACTCCACAGGCGATTTCCCTGTCTTGGAGGACTGGTATTTCTCCTCCTGAACTGGAGCTGGATCCCTGAGTTTCTTCCTGCCTGTCACTGTCCCAGGGAAGAGCAGTATCTTCTTTCTCAATGCACATGTGCATATTCCTATCCACATATTTTCCTCCCCTAGCTTTATCCAGCGTTGCTGCTGCTGCATTTAGGCCCTGCAACACGTTCATGCTCTGCTGAGAGGCTTCTCCACTAACTGGATCTGCTTTCCCTGCTGCCAGACTGGGCTCTGGCAGGCGGGGAGCTGGATGTGACCCTGCCCGCCTGTCCCTGTGGGCATCTCCTTCCTCAGTGCATCTCGGGGTGTTCTCACCTGCCTTTCCTGCTGCCACACTCTGTTCCTGCAAGGGGAGACCTGAATCTGCCTGGTGTCCCACGGAATTACCCTTTCTGCAAACCCCTGCTTCCTCTTTGATACACAAAGGAGCAGCCTCCACTCTTTCATACATGTCTGCTACATAGGGACTTGATGCTTCCACTGAGAGCTTTTGAGAAAAACTGGATTCTTTTATCCCTGTCTGTTTCTCTCCACCAAATTCACCCTTTGGCGAGAGGGCTTCTTTTCCCTGCTTAAGTGCATCCGTAGCTGGGGAAGCTCCCTCTGCTCCTAACGCACTGCCCTGGGTGAGTGACCCTTCTGCTTTCTGCCTTTTGTTCAAAAGCAAGGATTTCTGCCTGTCCCGAGCGTATTTCAGACCTGCTATGAATTTACTTGAAATCTTTAGGTGAAAAGTATTCTTTCTTTTAGATCTAGGCTTTGCTTTAAAAAGTTTTTGTACTTTACGCCCATCATTTTTGCTGGTTTTGGGTGGATTCTTTTTCTGCACAGGCTCTCTGCTAGAGATTTCCTTTTTAGTTGCTGCATTTCCTTTTGCAGGGAACTCACCAGCAGCAAAACCTTTAACCCCCAGCACTCCCTGTTTAGCTTTCGACTGACCAGTAGTATGAAGATGCACATTCTCTGCATGTGAAGCATTTCTCTCACTGTCAAGTAACATTGCACTTTTCCCTTCCATTCTCGGACAGCTCCTCGACTCCTCCGTTTGAGGAGATACCTTAGTCTTTTTACTCTGTGCCAATAAGAGGTCAATCTCATTTTCAGCTGGCTGTTGCTTTGCTTTTCCTTTATTAGCACTTTGCTTGGTCACTCCCAGTAAGTCAAGAGCTGCATCATCTCTTTGCATCTCTGGATTGCCCGAAGAGTCTTTGGCCTTTTCTGCCAAAAATTTCTGAATTTCTTGTTCGATGCTGTCATCACTGTCAAGTGAACTGCTGTCAGCAGCGGCTGATGCAGCTGTGAAAGCACATTTTTTATTTTTAGCTATCTGCAGGTTGTTCTGGCTTGAAACTGGTTTACGTTTACATCCTTTTTTAAGCTGCAAATTAAACTCCAAGTTCTTCATGGTTTCTGGTCTTTCATTCAGAAGCTTGATGCTTATGTTGTCTGAAGGATTTCTGGCTGCATTCTCTTTCATAGCTTTCCTAGATTTTGAGAGGCAGCTTTTCAGTAGCACAGGACTTTTACATTTCCATTTGTTTTGCTGGAGGCTACTAAATTCATCCAGTAGCTGAGTTTCTGTCTCGCTGAATCTGACTCTCTTCTTGCACTGAGTTTTCTGGTCTTTAGGCTTCTTCTTTAATTTTCTTTTAGAACGTAATAGGTCCTTGATAGCACTATCGAGATCCTCATCACTATCCAGAGAACTGCTCTCATCAGCTGTACCATCCCTCTCTTGGGTTGGGATTGTATTTTTAATAAGCTTTCTTGTGCTACTCTGAACCTGCATAAAGGGGTTTGCAGAGTCCAAGGCCACACATTTGCCAAGAGACCCGGACGACTCAGAGGATATTGGCTGCTGCTGCCTCATCTCTTTGCTACTGAGCCCATGGGCATCACAGAGCTCTTCAGGGTTGCTAAGAGCACATCCCTCTTGGAGCACAGAAAATCTGGGGCAATAATCTGGCTGCAAAAATCCCTTCTCAAACTGTTCAGGTGTTTTTGATGCACCTTGTTTTGTCGTTCTGTCTTCCCTCTTGAGTCTCCTTTTACGGCTCAGTGACAGCTTCAGTGTTTTGGGAAGAGGAGGCTCCAGGGTACCCGCGAGGTTTTGATCAGAAGGCAAAGGCACCTGGGCTGCGTGTGACGGACTTGGTGGCTTCGTTCCAGGGCTTTCCGACTGGGCTTTGAGAGCCAGAAAAGCCCGGATTTCTTGCTCTATGCTATCGTCACTGTCCACAAGGCTGCTGTCACTTTCGCAGTGAGATGATGAGAGAAGCTGGGGAGCAAAGAAAGAGTCTGCACCAAGTGACTTGTCGTCACCTCCCGTTTGGGATGGCAGGATTGTTTTGGAAATATCCAGGATAGCCTCTGCACACATGAGCTCTGCAGATGTGTCTGCTCTGCAAGAGGCCTGCAATGTCAGCTCACAAGCAGAAATCTTGTTTTCCGCAGGTGCAAAATGTCCAGGTTTTTTCAGTGGCTTAAACAGCTTGTTAAATTCATTGCTTGTGCTCTCTAATTCTGCTGACTTTGAACAAGTTTCTTTTCTCTTGCTGCTTGTAGGGCTTTTATGGACTTCTGGTGAGGCACTTCTTGTTGAGCTCATCGTCAGGCTTGCAGAAAATTCTGCTCCACCCTTTGCATCAAATTGTTCTCTTTGCAAAGGGGCACAGTCTGATGAGGGACCTGCCTCTTGCCTGACCTTCTCCATCTGGTAAAGCTGAATGGCTTCTTCGATACCATCATCGCTGCTCGAGTCAGATGCGGGCATGCCCTCAGTGACGAGTTCTCCCCTTGTTCCCCAAAAATTAGCTCCACTTTCTTCATTTTGCTTCAGTAACCAGGGCTGGCTACCAGTGGCCATTTCCAGATAGGCTTGGCTCACTTGGCTGAAATCACCAGGCTCTTCTCGGACTTTGGACTTCACACACTTGGGCTGAGTGCTGGTTCTCCTCAGCTTGGGATGGTGTCTTAGGAGAAGCGCTTCACACTCTTGCTTTATAGCACCACAATTTGCTTTGTTAGTTGTTTCTTTATTACATTTTAAGGCAGATCTCACAGGGGAATCTTTTTTATCTTCCCCAATTACACACTTACTAATTTCTTGCTGCTTCTTCTCATTCAAGAACTGCACTATTTCAGCTTGTATGCTCTGCTCAAAAGAGTCATCGCTACTGATGCTCTGAGGAGAAGCAGGCTGCTGCCTCTTACCAATTCCCAAGTGGTCAGAAAGATATTCCTCAGAGAGCACCTCAGCTTTAAATTTCACAGGGAGAAGATTATTAGCCATTTTGCTCTCAGAGAATTCTCTTTTAAACCTTTTGTCTGTATTTTCAGAACACGCTGTGTCTCTCTGCAGCGACTGCTCACTCTTGCTTTTTGCTTTCAAGTACTCTTGAATGGCTTCCTCTATATCTCGGTCAACAGAATCATCACTGTCAGAATCCAGAAGGAGAGGCCCAAAATCCACATTCTCTTCCACTTCGGAGCCGTCAGAATCAGCAGGGCACCTTTGCCTGTTATATTTATGGTGTTTCCGTAGCAGCGCGGCGCTCGACGCAACTCTGTTACTAGGGCCCTTTTCTCCCTTTTGTTTCTTCTGAGCAAAACAGTCATACTCATTGTTCATACCCAGGGGAGACTCTGGACTTTGCAGGTTGTTTATGATCATCTGAACTTTTGCACTCACAGAAGTTTTGGTGACATCCCCTTCAGCCTCAGAGAAGCAGACCGGGTATCTATAACTCCTTGGCACTCCAAAGGATCCCCATTTTGCTTGCAGAGCTACCAGAGGAGACGCATTCAGAAGGAACATTCTAGCAGACAACAGCAAAGTGGAGGAAGGAACAGTTCTTCAGAACGGTCTCTTTTCCATCCTAGAATAAAAGAGAGAAAAATACTTTTCATAATGTATCTGACCCTTGAAAGTTTCATGTAATAACACTCGGTAAGACAAATTGTAAATTACTATCAGTCACACTTACTGTACCACATAATCCCCTAAGTTACTCCTCAACATGTTTTTAAGCAGCAAATTGGTGACTACTGCCATTAGGGATAAGACGAAATAGTCATCATTTGTTGTTATCAATATTTTCTGGAACAGCTACAATCTAATTCCAGTAACTACCTTCACTTCGTAAATTCCTCCTACACTTTTCACAGAGGATAGCGCTGTCTTTTCATTACATTCCTAAATAACCACCCACCCGCTGTCAAGACACAAAGACTGACTTTGACTGTACTTCAGCAGATAGGTGGATATGACCCCTTTCTGCACTAACATTAATTTAATACTTCTGCAATGATTTTAGTACTTCTGCAATGAACTTTGTGGCAAAAGAGCGATTTTAAGGGAAGCTTTCACAATGCAATGGAACTGGTGGGAGAGCAGAATGCTGCAAAATATTCTCCTCCCCATGTTTCCTTTGGCATAATTGCCCTTTTAAGATAAGTCCTGCCATGCACAGCCCAGCTGTTTAGCCTGACAACAACAACAGTGTTGCCTATGTCTGCATGGTATAGAATGGGCGGATGGGAATCAAGGCTGCCCGGGATGTGCAGCACAAACCAACTCTTATTCAAAGGGCAGAGCGTGATGCCAAGCCTGGAATCACACCCGATCCCAAGGCAGCTTCCACTAGCGCTAAAGTGGTATTAAAAACACACAAATGAAGGGATTTTGGGGAAAGTTTTTAAAAAAAGAGGAAAGGGAGCTGTTTTCCTGTATCGAGAACACTCTTCCTTGTTGGCTGGTACTTGGAACAATCTGGCATGTGCTGTTATAATTTTCACCTTTTAGTCAACAGCAGACAGTGTGGATTTATTTCTCCTCTATACATGCCAATAAAATACAAGCACTGTACACGTCTCATGTTTAAGCCACAAGCTAATTTGGGAATTGTCTCACAGAAACAGCTTACGAGCCTACTATATATACAGGTGAGACGCTGCAATGTTACCAAAAACACAAATGCACCATTTCTAAAATATTCTCCAATACACTCACTGCGGGGATGGTAAATTAAAAATGGTCTTACTTGCAATAAGCAGCTAAGGATCAGAAAGGCAGAAATTAGAATACCCAATTATCCCAAAGAAATGCAATTAACACACTTAAGCTCCCAGCTTCATTAAAAAAAAAAAGAGAGAGAAAAAAAATGCTTCCCGTTAACCTATTTCCATAGTTCCTAGATAAGGGGCAGATGTCTTCATTATCCAACATGGTGATTGCTGCCACACAAATAAAATTACATGGGATTGGGATTAAATTTGCATGTCGTGCTACTCCTTCCTAACTCCTGCGGGCCTAATGAGAGCTGCTGAAACTTGACTGCGTGATGCTAAATCAAAGCAATAGGCGACAGGTCATCATCGCCCTTGCATTTATTCAGCATTTTTACTGCTAAAAGATCCCAGAATATTTTAAGGCTGATTCTTGCAACTAGTATTTGACTCGCTGCTGAAATAAAGCTGCTTTTGGGGATAAAAAAAAAAAGGGACACTGTGGGTAGGAAGGTAGTAAAAAGCTGGAGTCTTGGAGGGGGGACTGTGGCTCTGCACCAGGAAAGGGCTGAGAGGAGGCAACTCGGCTGCTGCCGGCACTGCAGGACACCTGCACAAAATATGTCACAAATATGTGGGGGACGCACAAAAAATGTGAGGGGACACCCATGGAGCCAGCTACCCCTGGTACCTCGGGGATGGATGTGGGGACATCTAGCCCTGGAACATGCATAGAGAGGGATGAGGGGATGTCAATCCTGGGGACATGCAGAGGGATGATGTGAGGTGACATCCACCCCTGGGGCTAGTGTGAGGTGACACCAAGACACCCATGGGGACAGCTGAGGGGGCACTGAGCACCAGGGACACCCATAGGGATGGCTGAGGGGACACTGAGCATCACGGA